GTCCTCATCTCCCTGGACGCCATGGACCGGGTGCTCGCGCTCGATGCCGCCTACCCGCTGCCTCTCCTCCCCGCCATGCTCGACAAGTTCCCCAAGGTCGTCGAGCCCGCCCGATGGTGGCAGCCGACCAAGAAGAAGCAGTAGTAGTAGCGCGCGGGCCAGCGAGCCACTGCCATGGCCGGGAACTGCTGGACCCAAGAGCTGGAGGAGGAGATGCGCGGCGTTCATCGGCTCCGGCGAGGCCGGAGTGTGGGCGTCCGGCGTGGCCGTCCTCTGCGGCGCGCTGGCCACGGCGAGGCGCTAGCCGGCGCCGCCACGCTCGCCGCGGCGTTCATCGGCTCCGGCGAGGCCGGAGCATGGGCGTCCGGCGAGGCCGGAGCGTGGGCGACCGGCGTGGCCGTCCTCTGCGGCGCGCTGGCCACGGCGAGGCGCTAGCCGGCGCCGCCACGCTCGCCGCGACGTTCATCGGCTCCGGCGAGGCCGGAGCGTGGGCGTCCGGCGTGGCCGTCCTCTGCGGCGCGCTGGCCACGGCGAGGCGCTGGCCGGCGCCGCCGCGCTCGCTGCGGCGTTCATCGGCTCCGGCGAGGCTGGAGCGTGGGCGTCCGGCATTGCCGTCCTCTGCGGCGCGCTGGCAGCGGCGGTGAACACCGTGGAGCACGGCGGGCAGGTGGGCATGGTGTTCAAGCTGTGCCGCAACGTGGCCGGCATCTACCGAAAGATCTAGGAAGACATCGAGGCGAACCTCAAGGAGGCCGACGTCGAGCGGAGGGAGAACGGCGAGGTGTTCGAGACGAAGGTGGCGCTGCAGCTCGGCCGGAGCACGTCGGAGCTCAAGCAGTTCAGGGCAATAGCCTCGCCGGCGGTCAAGGACGAGGACATCAAGGAATTTGCCGGGGCGTTAGGGAAGGAGGACCGGGCGGAGCCCGAGTCGGTGCCGCCGCCGTGGTGGTGGTCACAGTACTCCACGACGCGGGCGAGGGCGGCGCCCTTGACGACTTCGGGGAGGTTGACGACGACGTCGTCCTCGCCGCCGCCGCCGCGGCCCTCCTCGAGCATCCTTCTAATCGTGCCCGATGCCGCGGTGATCACCTTCGATGAGGACGGAGCGGGAGCGGCAGGGTCCAGGGAGTGGGAGAAGAAGAAGAGGGCGCCGCCGCCGCCGTCCGCCGGCCGCCGTCGCAGCGCCGCCGCTCAGCCGTCTGCTCCCTACCCGTCGGCCTGGTCTGCGAGAGAGAGAGAGAGCAGAGAGGGGAGGAAGGGAGAGAGAAGAGGCGAAAGAGAGATGATGTGGACACCTGACATGTGGGGCCACGTGGGCCCCACGCTGACTCAGTTGCCACGTAGATCAAAACTGGGGTCAAGGACGTTGGGTGACCTGTTTTGTATAGTTGGGGGACCCCGGGTGTCTGGTATTGCGGTTCAAGGACGTTTTTTATCTCGGTGACAAGTTCAGGGACCTCCGGTATACTTTTCCCTTGGGACCAATGATCACCATCAAATTTGGGCCCAGTCCAGGTTGGATGGTAACCATTGATCATGATCCAAATTTCGGCCCAGCCAACGTTGGATCATCGCTTCCGAAGTTAGCCCCAGCCCAGGATTGGATTTATTAGGCCGTGCAGGATATACTGAGCCCAGATTGGATATACTGCAAAAAATGTTTGAATTTATTCTGAGCCCAGATTGGATTGGATATACTGCGAAAAGGTTTGATAATTCTAAGCCATTTTTTTATAAAAAAAAATAATGGATAGATTCTGTCTTTGCTTTAATATTAGCTGCAGCCACTTATCAGGAACTAACCAAGGATAAAGAGACGACACATAAAAAAAAATCTACCAACAAAATCAAAAAAATATATGATTTAATTCAAAGGACTCCACCAAAAAAAAATCTTCCTTCAAGGTTGACGAAAATTTACATCAAATGTAACTTAGTATGAGCCATGCATGGCACGGCACAACTAACACAACTTGAAGATAAACACGAAACTTCATGGTGGATCATTACGGCCCTGCGCAATTGCAGAAGAACTTTTGGCACTTTTTAACATTTTTTACAGAAAATTAAGGGAGAAATCCGTCGATTATTTTTACCGTTTTGGATATGCGTGGGGTTTCATGTTGGCCGTTGGATGGTGTCAAGATTAGTTTTACACAGAGAGGAAAAAAAAACGTGCTTGTGGGATGGGGAGGGGAGCAGGGTTTCCCTTACCGTTTGAGGGGGGTTATCGCCCCCACCCCTCCCCCGCGCTAAGGCCATTACCACGGTAACCGCCGAAAACCACGTGAAATTCGTCCTCAAATGTTTGAATTAAAAAATTGGCGGTTTCGCGGTTTCGGCGCGGTAACCGCGATATTCGCAAAACAGAAACGTTCTCAAAAAAATAAAAAAAACACTTAAATGTATGTAGAAATTGGGGATAATTACAAGAATATATATGATACTTGTAAACCTAACTTTTGAGTGTAAAATACAAAAATCGGTATGATCTTTTCCATATTATGGACTTCGAAGCAATACAACATCTCGTAGCATAATAATTCAACAACAACGATTCAACAACCATACATTTGAAAGTATGTATGCGGAGAGAAAGCAACAAAGAGAGATGAGAGGATCCAGGAGATATTTTCTCCACTTATGGGCCTTAATGGGCCAGATAAAAATGTGCAACCTAAGGCCCATTTCATTATTTCTTTTTTACATTTTGTAATGTACTTTCCGTTTTGCCCTCAAATTTAAATTTATCTTACTCTTTTTCAAATACTTTATTCACCATGTGCCACTACAAATCAAGAACTACATCAATAAGTTTTCTCAATTTATTTTCGGAATTTTGAATTTAGGCAAAATTCATTAAACCCTACCGCTGGAAACCCCTACCGTACCCCCACGGTAAGCGCGGACCCTAGAGGGGAGTCGATCCTGTGATCTGGATTGCTTCAACCTTTTAAAATTGTGACAATCAATTTTATATTAAAATATATTTATAAATCTAATCAGTATGTACTATGATGTTGATATGTTGTGATAGTAAATTGTAGACAAATATATGTATATCTGTTTCTTCAAATCAAGCATTTGAAAAATTATTGATAGCTGAGATTTTAAAAGTTTGACTGAATCTTATCGAAAGTGTCATATGTTTTTGACCACTCACCACGCGAATATTGGGGAAGATCGGAGATGCAACTTATCCAGGACCGGACTGTGGCGGATCCACTGCTAGGGCTTGTCAGTGCGCAAGCCCCAGCTCCATGATCCCCTTCCTCTAATTAGCAACTAATGACTCTAATTAGCATTTAGCTTAAATCTAGTATTATGGCAAGGAAAGCTACCTCAAACACTCAATGCCCAAATTAAATTGCCAATGACAAATATGTTATAGTTATACCACCAATTTCTTGATAGATTTGTGTGTATAAATTAATATAACTGCAAATTAAAATGGAGAAAGCAATGCGTTGTCCTTTCATCATATGCATTTGGGTTTCATCTTAAAATACTTAGTTGACATATCTTATTTTATTTCAGTCACACTGCCATATATACACACGAGCCCTCGCTCAATTTACATTCTAGATTCGCCACTGGGACCGGAATATCTTCGTCAATTTCAGCGGAATTAATTAACATCATCATCATCCTTAAAATGTTGTATTACTGTTCTACAAACCGGTGAAAGCAACAAGCTCCGATATATCCATCATCGATCCATGGCTTATGAATTGTGATGAATCATATCAACGCGGCACGATCGATCAGAATTCAATTCATTTCACCGTCAACCTCTCTCCCGTCGTCCGTCTTGTCGATGAATGGACATAAATTTATTGACTTTGGCCACAAATGCTACTCTATGTTCCATTTTGAGCGCAGACATACGTTTCTGCGTCCAAATTTAATTATTCGTCAATTTATTTTTTTAAAAAAAAAATAAAAAACATAGGCTACGTATAAAGTATTATTCATGTTTTATCATCTAATAATAACAAAAATATTAATCATAAAAAAATTTAAATAAGACGGTCGATCAAAGTTGAACACGAAAACTCATGGCTACATTTAAAATGTAATGGAGGAAATACCATCAGTGAAACGTATACCAATGATGTGGAATTAACTTAAGAAAGAAATGTCGCGATTTGTTAAGGGGTGGACATTCGATCTAACCAAAACTTTTCAGTCTCGGCCTTCGGTCTTTCGGTTTTTTCGGTCTTTGAAAAGTGAAGACCGAATTTCAGCGAAAAAAATATCAGGACCGACAAATTTGGTCTCGGTCTCGGTCCTGACCGAAATTCAACAACATTTTCATATATGCAAATAAATAATGAAAATTTTCAACACAAAAATCTTTAAAAAAAATTGTAAGCACTTATGAGTAAAGACTCTTGTAAGGTTGTATGCCTAGAAGAAATAGGGATGTGAAAATTAGAGTTTAATCCTATTAAACATAGTGGATTGTAGGTTGTATTTAGACTTTTTTTTTTTGAGAATTCGGTCTTTTCGATCTATTCGGTTACCCGAAGAGACTATCCGAATTGACTGAAAAAAATTCGGTCTTTCACTACCTAGAACCAAATTGATGACCGAATTTTTTGGTCTCGGTCCCGGTCTTTTCGGTTCGGTCTTTTTCTGCCCACCCCCGCCAACATCTTAATCAGAACTAAATTAGGATGGGATTGAATCGAGGGGCTAAAACCACATGATCCGATTTGTATCTACTAGGCATTTGGTCCGGCCAATTTATTTTACTAGAGGCGAAGGCGCGCTTTGCGCGCTGCACCAGTGGCATCCAGAGGAGAGTCTGTCATTACTTAGGTAAACAAAGTGAAGGAAAAATCATTATGGTATAAGAGGACCAAATCTGCAATATACAGTTTACTCCTCATAGAAAATTAAATCTCAATTTACAATACAACATGTCCAAACATCTCTAAACTTTTATGATTAATCTTACAACAAGAATAGTGCAATAGGAATTACACATAACAGAATTTACAGTATGAAGTTTGATGAGAATAGCACAAAAATTTACAATAGGAAATCTGGACTTCCATAAGTTCACTTTTATGTTTATAATAGCATTAAAGCAGTGCACTCAAGGAGTAAAATGCCATGGACGCGATGGCCTCCTTGGCCAAGATGAATAGCACGGCTGGATGTAATTGTAATAGACAGCACAAACTTCACAATTTTTTTAAATGAGCAACAGCATAAAAAAAAAGGTTTGTGATGTATATAAATCTGCTTCTTTGATTAATTCAAGCACACTCTACATTTAAAAATGGAATGTCAGCTTGCAGAGCAGCAAGCTCACTCCACATCTGAAGCTTTATGGAGCAAGGGAATAATATTTCATTATATTTCACCTTTTCATTTTGCTGAAAAGCTTGGCCATCCATGGACAATAATCCGTGAAGAGACCTTGGCTGCTTGTTAGTGAGAAGCTGAAATGAAGTGATTGGTATTAAGTGTTAACTTACTAAACCACCCAATATGAGAAAATCATGTTGGCAAATTATTTACATATTCAACCTTCTTTGACCTGAAGCAAAACAAAAGAAATTTAAGTGAACAAATCTTGATGTAAGGTAGAGAAGAAAGGGAAGAACCAACTCTCAAATGAGATGGAGTGCAACCAGATTGACCTCCTACCGATTGAGCTCAAACATCACCTTGACAGCAATGGAGGTGATGCTCAGAGAGAGACAGGAGAAGATGGTGGGAGGCTGAGAGAGGGAACAACTCTGTACTAACGGCATCATCTGCAGGAAGCAAGCAGAAGGTCAGTTCGGCCACCTTGTTCCCAAGCTGTACAATAAAATGGAATTAGCAAATGACATACTTTATCAACATATCTTTTTTCTGTAATCATTTACTGATATAAAATAAAAGGCAACCACCCAAGCAGGGACATTACAAATGACATTAAGGATTGCCAATAGAAAATGAAAAGCAAAGAACGGTCAATCCTATTTCTATTTACTATCACTTTATTAAGGAGGGATATAAGGTATAAAATCAAGCTTAGGAAGAATTTATGAGTAGCCAGCAGCAGTCCACTCCCGGTGCAAATTCATCGGACTCACCACAGGCTGTATCCTACATATGCTCAGGTGAGGGCAACCAAAAATGAGGCCCTCAAATGCAATATTGTTATTGCCCATTGTAGTTTGAGCAATCTGAAACCAAGAATGAGGCACATGAATTAGATACTAAATGGTGTCATTTAAGATACAGGTATAAGAGAAAAGGAAGTACAAGACATATTAGAAAAGAGAAAACAATGATTAAGTATTCAAATTTGGAACAGAGAAATTCAACTGAAATAAAAGTTTTCCATTTTAGTTGGCAACAGTCAAAAACACTCGACAATATGTTCAGATTAGGAAAAAGTCCATACAGCTCGAGTACTTGAATCCAAAAATTTGTTGGATGTTGTTCCCTGCTGCTGATATAGACATTTCGTTTTGATAACATGGTCTAACCGATCTAAATTTATAGCGCATCATGCCCAAGCATTTGAAATGTATTTCATAAATATTAAACATTGCTTCAATGGAGACCGAATTTATGCAAATATTAAGTGACATTTGAATTCTATTCAAAATAATTAAGCTCCACTGGAACTACGCAAGAAAAGATGAAATGCATCTGAACTTGCTGTTATGGAAATAAAAAATCATATAAGTTTTGAAGCCAGTTGTTGCCAAGGATAAAAATAGTGTGAGATCTCATAAGCATATATCGTCAATTGAGGCATGTTCTTCTATTAACTGAAGTGTGGAAATATATAGTTCTCGCAAATACTAATTAGAGAAATATTGTTTTACTAAAAAGACCGAGGTTATACTTTCTTTGTTACATCAAAGAAGGAAAGAGGAAGTAAGAAGTTGCAAACATATGACATATTAGCTACAACATCAATGGATTTACCACATCAAGGGGCTCACCGTTGAGCTGAGCGTAGCAGCACCGGGTTGAGGCCAAGGTCACCGTGTTGTGGGGACGTCGGGAAAGGAGCTTCCCAACTCCAACTGAGGTGGAGGTCGCCATGAGCGGGGGAGGCAACCTCGAACAACTGTCAGTATGAAAGGGCGGCGCGAGGAGGGCACGGCAGAGCCAAGACCCGTCGAGGAAACCCTGCGCCGGCGTGCTCCAAGCAAGCTGAAGCTGAAGTGATTCTGATTTCTGAATCTTATATCTTTGAATCAAAACAGATGAATACATATGCAATATGATATATCAAGCAGTTAATAGGTTAGTACTTAAGAGGTCTCATAGAAGAGAAAAACAATACTCCCTCCATCTACTTTTGATAGTCATATTTCATCTTGGCACACAGACCAAGGATAAGTAATTGTACTTATCATCCATTTAAACATGCTACTAGTCATTCCTCGTAAACAAGCGATTCATTAATATTTACATTTCTCAATGCCCATGTAGCCAATTATGTGTGGAAGAATGAAGAGTTATGCATTAAATCCGAGAAAGTCATTAAGATGATAGGTTGTTAGATTGAAATATGCCTATCAAAAATAAAATTTTCAGATTTGGAAATATGACTATCAAAAGTAGATGGAGGGAGTAGCATTCTATCTATCCGCATTCATGTGTGCCACTGTAAATAACTGAACATGTATCTCAGTTTTTTGTCAGTCGGTAATAAACCCCACCACAAAACCTGTAAAGTGCTCAAGAACATGTATTACATCTACACACGCAAAAAGTGCATATCCATTCAAACATCAACCTACACATCATATCATCCCTACCTTCATCAATTTGCACGTCAGACCATCACCATTTTCATCGGTCTACCAAGAACACCAAAAAGAACAAAAACTTACAAGTTATAATGCCAGACGGGGTTGCGGAAGATCGACTTTGGCCTCGTCGCTGGTGTATGCTCTCGGAGGAGGCAGTGTCTGACACATTTCTTCCATCTTGCCCGAGCTGCTGCTGCCGTCGATACCGAGCTCAATAGACCCAGCGGCCCTGGATCTGTAACATGGAACCTCCCCATCATCTTTGGATTTGGATCCGAGAGAGGGGGAGAGTGAAGAAAGAAAGGGCAGGGGAGCAGGGCCTTCCCCCTGGAACTCACCACTGTGAAGGAACGACCGCCATCGACACTTACAATGGGCCTCAATGCCACAGATCGGGATGCTCCCTCTCCGAACCGGGCCGCCGTCCTTCCGGATCTGGTGATTCCTGGCCTCCTCGATTGCTCACCCACGCAGCCGTTGTTGTTGTTGCAAGCCTCCGCCGATCTGCAAAGGAAGAGAATGGAGAGGGAGAGGGAGAAGAGTAGGGAGCAGCCACCCGTTGCCTCACGCGATCCGCGCGGCCGTCGTTGTAGCGGTGCCGGACGTAGAAGGAGAAGAGTAGAGAGGGTGACAGTCGGTCTCCCCTCCGCCGACGAGGAGGCCGGGGTCACCGGATCCGACGGTCCCGGCCTCCTCGTTGGCGGATGCATCGACCGGAGCGAGAGGAGGATGGCGACGACAGTACGATGGTGCGGCGACAGCAGTGGCTCGCGTGAGGAGGCGAGGCGGCGGACTCCCTCGCCTGGGCATGGAGAGAGCAGAGCGAGGGAAGGAGAGGAGGTGGTGGGAAGTGGCGGCTAGGGTTTGGGTGGGGTGGGGGGTTTTGGGTTGTATTTTTTTCATAAAAGGCCCTCACTTTCTGTTATTCAGACCGTGCTCCTCTTTTTCGATTTTTCTCTTCTTTGCATAGAATATTGCAGTTTGTAGAGGCCCTGTACATAAGAACGCAGAACACAGTACAAACTAAAGAGCATATACCTAAAACAAATTATCAATAAAATGAAGGGCCTTTTTGCAAAAATAGAAGGGCCGATGCGAGAGCTCGCGAAATCCTACCGTTTTCCAGCTCGGGCTGACGTGTCGCGACGCGGCAAGGTCCACGACAGCGCAAAACGCTGAGGGCGCAGCATTTCCCAGCTGGTTGGAAGACTTTAGATTGTTCTGGTCTGATTGACCCAATATTTATTAGTAGACGTTTACATGAAGAGGTAAATTGGACCGGTAGGTGTGCTTCTGATCCACGTGCAGCATGATGCATATGAAAATTAACAACTTTCCTCGGTTACATATACTTACCGTTTTGAATATAACCTTTTCTTTCAAATTCTGAATTATCATACTCCCTTTGCTACGTATTTTATTTATGACGTTGGTTAGTTAAAAATAAACTAACCAATGTCATATAGATATGTAGTATCTTTCCATAAAAAAAGAAAATCAAATTCTAACTACGAATCTAGACATTTGCGTGTCCAGATTCATAGGATTTGCTTTTTTCTAGGACGGAATACTAGATGTTTCAAAATAAAGTGAGTATTATTTTAGGTTGTCTAAAGCTAAAATCCTTCGAGTGTAAGCAGTACTAAATATGTAAAGTGTGACCAGCAATCGGTTTTTCTTTGCTTCCCAGATCCTATTAATTGTCTCTTTTAAATTTTATACTAGTAAGTAAAAACTAAGCAAGCGAGTTTTTATCCAGGTAGTTAAATTGTATGTTTACATCCCTATATATGGTACCATTAACGTGGGTTGCATGGATATAGTGTCAATCTCTTCTCAGGGTTATCGGTGTTATCTCATATTTTTTTCCTTTGAGTATGATGTACTCCTCTTCTTGCATATATTCCTCCTGCTGGCCTTTTTTTTTTCCTTAAACAAAAATGAATGCAAAAAAAAGTCTTGAAAAATAGTTTTATTATGTCGTTATTCATTAGGTTTATAATCATAATATTGAGACATAAGTATATATTAGTGGCCACAAATATTAACCACATATATATATATATATATATATATATAGTTGGCTAATGATTTCAATCAGTAGGAGCAATATTTAGTGACAAACAAAAACAGATGTGTGGATTAGTTGTGGGGCACGTATACACGGTTGCCTGGCTGTCCAACCTCACACATCGTTATTGGTGTGACATTTTACATATGTTTGTACGGAAAAATATGTAGTGCAAACCACATATATAGTGGAAACTTGAAAACTACCGTTGGATCGAGAAATGGACGTCCGAGATTCGTCCATGTCATCATCAGTTAAAATTTAACTCGCAGATTAACTCATGAGTTAAAATTTTACTTGGAGTTAAATTTTAACTCATGGTGACGTAGACGAATCTTAGACGTCCATTTCTCGATCCAGTGGTAGTTTCTAAATTTTCACTACATATGTGATTTGCACTACATATTTTCTCTGTTTGTACGAGTTAATTTATACATGAGTTTGGTGATTCTCACCGACGTACTATGGCCGATTGAGTTGGACTATCCATGTAACTTTCAATATATATATCAGATATTTGAATCAATAACTATATATATGTCCCTAGTGTATGATCCAAATTTTTTTCATTACAGTTTCAGCGACACCTAATGTTTACTATAGTTAATTTATACATGGGTTTAGTAATTTCTCACGGACTACGGCCAATCGATTGTGTTGGATGATTCCATGTATAGTTTTCACGATGATGCTAGTAGGTGTCGAGCCTGCATGGCGGCTACCCCTCTTTCCTGGCTATCGAGGTACTTGTGCCTCTAATGATAAAATAATTCACAAAAAAAATGGTACTTATATATTTTTCAATAAAGTGAATAGTCAATCATAATGTTTAAATGTAAACAATTATACCGTATATTAAAAATAGAGGTAATATTAAGTTTATTCTGACGTCTCTTGCCATTCTACATATATATATATATATATATATATATATATATATATATATATATATATATATATATATATATATATATATATATATATATATATATATATATACCCACATATCAACAGTCATAAATGTTACCTAATCGGCTAGACAAACCATGTGCTATATGTGACGAATGGGAAGCCAGCGGTAGACACGATGGATGGAGACATCCGTGAGTTGTGTGCTCGAATTGTCTTAGAGATCACTTCCTACCCAAATTAGACCCAATAGCCAAATCACACCAAGAAATAAATAACAAAATTAACTACATGAATCTTTCGAAGTGTTTTCTAACATATTTAAGTACTCGTCGTCTCTTTTTCCTTCGCTTGTCATATCATTCCCTTCCCTTCCCTTCTCTCCTCCTTGATATCTTTCCCTCTGTTTAATTAATCTTTAATTGTTTAACAAGATTGATGGATTAATTATTCAATCTCATCGGTGCACATGGAGTATAGTCTCAACGACTCAATCATAGCATAGTCATTAGAGAAACCCATGCCACCGAAATCGATCATGAAAAGAAGACAAAGATAAATTATAGGAAAAAATATAAATCGATTTCAAAACCCTCAAATCTTGCCGTACTGTATAGAAGACGGACACCATGTCACTTTTTATTGATTCTCCCTCATTTGAAAATTTGTTCCGCACGTACTATGAATTTCAACTCAGTATCTCCTTAAAATATTAAATCTATATTTGCATGGAATCAATTTGAAAAATATAAAGAACTGTACTTTTTGCATTGTGGATCAAAAGTTGTTGGGGGCGTGATCAGTCACCAAACGTCAAGATTATCGAATTTTTAATTCCTAAATTGGATGATCAAGACAAGTAGCGTGCGTGTTAATTTATCGGTTTTCTAGAATCAAAGATCGGGGCACATATGCGATCAAACTCGTGGTGAGTTAAGTAATCTCGTACGCGTGTACGTCGCAAGATCGATCAATTTCGTTGGATTGTCAAATCGCAAGAAACCTCTCTTGCTTGTTTTTTTTTAAAGCCAGAACTAATGTTTTTTTTGTGCTCTTGTATCCTATGTCCTGTTGATGTCCGATGATATATTTATTAAATTCAAGTGTTCATCTCTAAAACAAGGAAAAGTAATGAATATTTGAATTGAGGCTGCACGTAGCGCAGATGGCATGGTGTAGCGTTGTGCTTTCTGTGACCCGCGTTCGACTTTGGTGGAACATACTCACCCTCTTTCTTAATAAATTCTACATCGGATCCTTCCTTAGAGCAAGTTCAATAGTATAGCCAACTACTGGCTTTAAATCATCTATAGCTAATCTAATAGCTTATTTATACAATAGTTATCTATAAAAATATACTACACCATTAATACTCTGTCCTACCTCTCATACACACATAACGTCTTGGAGTCCGTGTTGCAGCCGGCTATAAATCTGTAGTCCGCTTTCTTCGTCTTGGAGTCCGTGTTGCAGCCGGCTATAAATCTGTAGTCCGCTTTCTTCTCTCTCTTCTCTTTTCTTCTCGATATGTGGTTATAGCTGGCTTATAGCTTGCTATTGTACCTGCTATTAGTGTCCAGCTTTTTTAAAAAATATATATTTGAATTCAATGCATTTAGACTTATCAACACAATTTGACAACAGCATTGCTACTCTCTCCCGTCCATAAAAACATATTATATTGTTTTGGACATCAGAATTTAGCATTGACTAGTAATTTTTGTTTCAAAGTATTTTGCGAAATCCCAATAAATGAAGATACCACAAAATTATTTTCCAAAACAAACATACATACATTTTTTTACACAATCTATATATGTTTAAAGAGACAATATGTTTAACATCATATTTGACATTTTGACCATCAATGTTAAAGATAGAAATTGTTTAACGTCAAAGATAGAAAAGATTGATTTAGGACAAAGCTAGAAGCGCACAAGTAATTTAAAATGGGGGAGCACATAATTTAATTATAAAAAATATTATTGGTTAGAGGTAGCTCCTCAAATTAAAAACTAATTATTTTTGAATGAAGGGGATATTGTTGCACACTATAGTTGTGCCTACACCGACAAGCTAGGGATAAATACAAAACTCAACCCTCGACATATAGGGAAAGGAAAAAGGGAAATTTCCATACTAATGTTGTACCGACAAAACAGATATGCAGGCATATGAACACACGTCTGCATTCAACAGAATTATCAATCAGTCATACGCACATACATCATACGGACACTCAGGCCGAGTTTACTTCCAAACTTTTTTTTTCAAACTCCTAACTTTTTTATCACATCAAAACTTTCCTACACATAAACATCCAACTTTTCCGTCACATCGTTCCAATTTCAATCAAACTTCTAATTTTGATGTGAACTAAACACACCCTCAATTGATTCGGATTATCAAGCACAAGCAGCAATTCCTAGCTAGCATACTCTCTGATCATATGCACATGCATATGGATTGTCCCCAGCAACGTGATGATGCAATGCATCATGTCCTTCAATTGTCACTTTCTGGACACTTGGACCGGGTCCTACGTGGTCACCTAATGACTCACCCCCCATGCATAGACTTATTGGATTAATCCGCCACGTGGCGCCGCCAAGTGGCGGGATTAAGAATAATGGATGAAGGAATCAATGTGATCCCCATGGTTTTGGGGGGTTGACATGGTGGAGCCTTGCAGGATCCCAAACCTCTCAACACAAGCAACTGGTGGCCCCCACCAAATCAGAAGACAAAAGCAACAATGTTAAGTTTTTTTAATTAATTTTTTGGATGCTCCCAATAATTTAATCTGTAATATAATATTATATAATGCCCTCTTGTCCAGTTGTCTGTGCTTGTGCTTGTCCAGGCACACAGTCTTATCCTCCTTGCCCACTTTAATCTCTTTGCTAGATTAGCTAATTATCCTCAGCCACATTATTTCTGGGCTCTGATCAATTTCCCAAAATTGCCCACCAAAAAGGTCTCAACTTGCTAGCTTCTGCTAATTATCAACAGCCACATATATCATTTCAGTGCTCTGATTTCCCAAATTATACTTTCCTAAAATGTCTCAACTTGTGGTTAAACAAGCATGTGATGGTGCCATTGAGGGGTAGATTAGTCATTTGAAAGAGATTTCAGCCCACAAGATCATGCTTAGCGTGGGTGTGAAAGTGATTGAGATTGACAAGGCCAGAAAAGTTACCCTTTTCTCCCACGGGAAACATTGGTTTGGGGCTGTTTGGGTAAGCATGATTGGGCCACGTGGCACCTAGGGCCCACCGTGGGCCAGACGCTGTCCGTGACGTCAGCATTCATGGGTTAAGTGCACCCACAATGTGTCCTACAATCCTACAACGACTTATCTCATGTGTGTTTTTTTTCTGAAAAAACATGTTTTTTTTTTTTGCATGTGTGACCATATGTTGTAGAGTAAAAATATTTTACAAGAATATATGTGTTAACAAATCCTATGCAAGAAATGGTGCGCTAATAATAAACCATAGAGAATTAAACGAATGAATCAAAGATAATTTAAGAGTAAAATATATTTTTTATACCTGTATTATTAGCGATTTAAAAGCGAAGGCTGACGATAGACCATGATAAAGAAACTAAAATTTGGCTACAGTTGTAAGCCAACAAGCACACAGTGAGACCTGAAATTTAAGTTGCAGCACTCTACTTTATCCGTTTTAAAATAAAATTTTATATATGAATGTAGATATAGGTTATATCCAGATTTATATGCAAAATTTAATTTATTTTAGATAGAGAATAATACCTAGGCATTGGTGTGATTGCTCTTGAATACATGGAGATGTCTTTAACTATTGAAACCTCTCATAAAACACGGTACAAAAGAGATATATCTTTAATTATTGAAACTTTCTATGAAAAATACAGTACAATCGCATACGTTTATATACATGTGTACACACTAACCCTTATAAGCATACTAATTTTCTACCACTATGAAGATGTCTGAAAGGTTGAACCGGCATACCTAAAGATTTACAAAATCATAAATCATTAGTGTGCCTCGAGGTCCATTGCTATCAACAATCAAACACAACTTAAGTCATCTACCGTGGTAAGTTGGAGAGACTCAGATTTGGATAGACAGGTCATACCAAAACAAACCTTACCAATTAAGTTATGTCCATATCTTAATGGTACAAATAAGCATTTTTTTTTTGGCATTGTATTTTACTCCCATATCCATAAATAAAATACAAGCATGCAAGTACTAAAAAAAATACTAAAACACCGGAGAAGAAGCATCGGTGGTATGATGGTGAAATCATAAGTGCATGACTCCATTTATCAGGATTCAAATTCTGATATCCACAAATATTACACACACAAGCAAAATTTCAATATGATTTTAGTGATATTATAAATATGTCGCTGGTCTCCATCTTTTCTTTTAGAAAAAAAAAACATATGTTAGGAGATACATTGCCGCTGTGTGTGATGTGTGCGCCATGAATCAATGGATGTAGAGACATGTTTACACCACAGGATCGATGTGAACATGTAATTATCCACATCCCTGGAAGATAAGTACTACTACTATAGTAAATAGTGTATGTAATTAACCACGGACACGACGACACGAATTCTAGAAACGTCTGCTTTTACTCCAACTTGGGGATGGGGAGACATAGCAGATTAATGCAAGATTAGCAGCAAGAGCAAAACCTTGTGGTTGTGGTTTGCAGTTGCAGACACAGCCCGGCATCTTCCATCTTTTCTCTGTGGACTTTTTTACGTGTGCTGTAAACCTTGCTGCCCACTTGTCATCTCGTACTACTCCAGACACCTTCTTCCCCCTTCAAATTCAATCCTAAACTCATCAGGGAGTAGAGATCACTGTCAGAGATGCAAAAGCATCGAAGATAGTAGAGTCTTAGAGACAACAAGTGGGATCTTTATCAATAAATACCCTCCATTTTTTCTTGCCAATCCGTCTTCCATTATATTTCTCTCCCCTTCCAACAAATCGTCTCGAGAAAGAGGAGGAAGAATCGATCTTTTGGTGGAGTTTGCAATGGTGAAGGGAGGGAGGGAGGCGCTGCTGGGCGGGTACGAGATGGGGAGGACGCTCGGGGAGGGCAACTTCGGCAAGGTGAAGTACGCGCGCCACCTCGCCACCGGCGGCCACTTCGCCGTCAAGATCCTCGACCGCGGCCGCGTCGTCTCCCTCCGCGCCGGCGACCAGATTCGCCGCGAGATCGCCACGCTCAAGCTGCTCAGGCACCCCCACGTCGTCCGCCTCCACGAGGTCAAAATTCCATTTCATCCTTCTCTCGCTTCGCTTCCTTAATAAACCGCCTAATTCGTCCAAATTAGTTTATTTAGATAATGGATTCGTCGAAATTAGTTTGAGTTCGCACCGGAGATTCGATCGAAAACACGAGTTTTCTTTTTTTTTATTTATTTATTAGTGATTTATTTAGCTTGCAAATTGCGTGGTTCGCCTCCGCCGCCGCGGCCGCCGGTTTCTCGCCGTCGACGGCGCCGCCGTGTGAAATGCCACGTGGAGCAGCCGATCCCGCAGCCGCACGTAGACTAGGCTCGTGCCACGTGGCGTTGGTCCACCTGGCAGTGTGGGCCCACGCGGCGCACCGTCGTCTGGTGGGTCCCCCAATTATTTTTGCTGGACCACGGAGACTTTGTCTGGTGAGAACCGGATGCCTCTCGCCGGAATTGTTCGCCGTCAACGTCACCGTCTTCTCCATCTCCGGCGGGTGCTCGTGATCCCAAATGTGCCCACGCATGGCCATTGCCGACTAGTGGGTAGCACCGTCGTTGTCGAATTTATGTCACGTTTTTTTTTTCTTTCACTACGAAAACGAGAGAAAATTCTATGGTTCAGTTTCATGTAAGCAACTAACTTAAGAGAGTAATGTCACATCACATGATCACGTCTTAATCTTGTTCTTCGACTCTTGATTCAGGTTGCTGCTAGCAAAACTAAGATTTACATGGTGCTTGAGTTTGTCAATGGAGGTGAACTGTTTGAGAGAATTGTAAGCCCTTGTTTCAATGATCTTTTACGCTATTTCCTCGCTGCAAAAATTTTCATGCCAGCTACTATGGTGTGTTCTAACATTTGAAGCTGTTAATTCTTTGCGATTAAAAATAATATAGGCAGTAAAGGGAAAACTATCAGAGAAAGAAGGAAGGAGGCTTTTTCAGCAGTTAATTGATGGTGTTAGCTATTGCCATGATAGGGGAGTCTACCACAGAGACCTCAAGGTAATGGAAGATTTGTTTTAGGGCAAACTGCTAAAAATTTTATGAATTATCATCTGTGATGCACTTAGTTAGCAATATCGGTCGGTGTGGCTTCATGAATCTGTAACATAATTCTTGTTAAAATTATTCCATTGGTACAGCCTGAGAACGTTCTTGTGGACCAAAAAGGCAACATCAAGATCTCTGATTTTGGTCTTAGTGCTTTACCTCAACACCTCGGGGTATGATTTGTCGACTTCAGCTGTACAAAATGTTTTTCTTAAATATTTTTTTTCACTGAATTGTAAAGTTTGGTACTTTTCAGAATGATGGATTGCTGCATACTACCTGTGGTAGCCCCAACTATATTGCTCCTGAGGTAAGTGAAAGTTCCTTTCAGTTCAACTGAATTATTATCTTGTAAAGCTTGCTCAACCTTGTGCTAAATGCTTGCAGGTTCTGCAGAATAAAGGATATGATGGATCCTTGTCAGATATCTGGTCTTGCGGAGTAATCCTTTATGTAATGCTTATAGGATATCTTCCGTTCGATGACCGAAATATTGTTGTTCTGTATCAGAAGGTACTGATTTATATCAAACCGAAGTAATATTATTCTGTTATTGTATTCTCTGATCATTTTTAGTTACTATGTTTATTCGGTTTGATTAGATTTTCAAGGGTGACACTCAGATCCCAAAGTGGCTTTCACACAGTGCACAAAATCTTCTTCGGAGGATTCTTGAACCCAATCCGATGAAGAGGATCGACATGGCAGGGATCAAATCACACGAATGGTTTCAGAAGGACTATATTCCTGTTCTTCCATATGATGATGACGATGAAGATGTACAGTTTGGGGCACGTCTTCCTGCCAAAGAGGTAGGGAGAGATTAGTAGACTTCATGACTCCATTGGGGATTATCTATGTCCTGAACAGTAAATTTAATTTTGGTGTTTGCAACTACTGACTGGTAAGTTTTGGTTTCTTTTCTTTTCTGAAGCAAATCAATGATGAGCCTGGAGATAAGAATTCTCATCAGATCAACGCTTTCCAGTTGATTGGAATGGCATCATCCCTTGATCTTTCAGGGTTTTTCGAGGATGAGGTTTGTACAGTGCCTTTTCAGAAATTTCCTTCCAGCACTTCCATCTCCTTACCAAGGATGAAATAACCTGAAAATAGAATGTTTCTATCTTCTCAAAATATCATATGCAGTTGAAGTGAAATAACTTATTTCCCAGGAAACTGTTGATAATCACCCTGGATGAACTTGTCTTAAGCCACTTGTGATTACATTTTCACGGGAAAATGGAATGAATAATTCATTGCCTGACTTGTTGCAGGAAGTGTCCCAAAGGAGGATTAGATTCACATCAACGCATCCACCCAAGGATGCCTTCGACAAGATTGAAAGCTCAGCGACGGAGTTGGGATTCCAAGTTCAGAGGGGGCACAGCAAGGTCTGTACAAGCCTTTCATCGTCTTCGTCATATTACAGCCTTACAGGACATACTAACACTACCTTAAACGTTTCAAGAAACTAAAAATGGTTTGAACATTATTTTTCAGCTCAAATTAATGCGCAATTGCAAGGGATCAAAGAACCCTGAGTCATTTATGGTGTCCGCCGAGGTAAAACACAAAGAACGAAAAAAAATTTAATGCAAAAACACGATGCAACTGCTGGTCAGCTAAAAGAAGCGGGGTGCCATTTTTTTTATGTCAGGTTTTTGAGCTTGGCCCTTCTGTAAATGTTGTAGAACTTAGGAAGTCCAACGGAGACCCTGCACTGTATAGACAGGTAACAGCAGCTAAACAATTGCAGATTTGCAGTTGCCACTGACTATGACTGAAACTGGAGCAAGATTACCAATTTCTTCTTGAAATGTTTTTGCAGCTCTGTGAGAGGATCTCCAGTGACATGGGGGCGCGCAACACGGAGCAGATCTTCGCAACGGCATCGCTTGAGGATGATCTTCAGAACAGCAATGCAGGGACGCCGCTGTTCGCTTTGTAACGAATGCTGTGTTCTGCAAAACTGCAATGTTGTAGGATGATCTTAGGCAAGAGGATGTGTAGGAACATATTTGGTCAGGCATTTGGAGAAGAGATAAGACTTGAGAGGGTAGGATCATAGTAGTATATGATACAGTGTACAGAACCGAGTGGTTCAAAAACTAGCCACCGTTGTAAAGAGAAAGAAAGGAAAGATGAAATAAAAGAAAGAAATAAATTGCCTTGACTGCTCCTATAATTCAGCAGTGCTAGTATCTTGTATGGGCAAGATATGTACTGTGAGAAGAAAATAATCCATTTGATGCAATATGTCAATGGAACTTAAATATTTAAAAAAAACTACAATCCAATGTTTGCATTGATAGTCTAAAATTAAAGTCAAGATATTTGTCGAAAAATTGTGGCTGTTCGTTTGTGCTACTTGTGGCTGCGTTGCGGCTGCAGCAACCGTACCTGCTGTGGAACAATGAACGGAGCCATTGGTGCTAGATGTGTGGCAAATTACGTTTTCTGTGGTGAAAGGCGCCCACCTGAGACAGCTTCCAAAGAAGCTTTGCCGAAGGCGTACTACAAGATTGCGTAAACTTGTTTGAGAGACGAAAAGGAGGAGCAAACCCCAGAACCAGCGAAACTCTGCTTCCAGCTAAAGCAGAGGAGTGTGTACCTCCAGCTCCAGCAGCTAATCAACCTCTGTATCCAGCATTGTTTTGTTCTTGTTATCAAGCAAAGCTTCGAAAATTTAGGTAATGAAGATTAACAGCCCAGGAGAAACAACTGCAGCATCACTGTTAATCTGTTATCACATTGGATGATTAGAAGATCTGTTCTGAACTAGTTGGACGATCCAACCAACCAAGACCAATGCCAACATCACAGACACAGGGACTGCTCAAACTTGCAAATCTACAGTGAAAATAGACGAAAACAACAAAATGGAGAGCTGCAAAAGTTTTGTTTTGGACATGAACACCACTGACAACAGATATCTGATGAAAATGGTAGAAGGCATTAGCAATGACATGGTTGCAGCATTTCTCCAGCATTGTCAGCCTCACCATCAACTTTGATTGAACTCACCACTGCCATACCATGACAGACAACAAAAATGGAAGAACACACAAATAAGCAGAAGGACTGTCTTCGATTCGCAACAGGTCCCACAACCAGCAAAGAAATTATGTATTCATGAATTCTGAATCTAGTTCATTTCATTTAAGAAAAAACCAAAACCATATGCGATTCATCCACCAGCAACACATTTCGCTGTACTACAAATAACAAACAGGGTATATAAGATGCAGGCGAGCTACAGTTGATGGAAGGATCATGTACCAAGTCAAGACTAGAATTTACAGCAAGAACACTCAAAAATGGGGATTCAATCACATTGCAATCCTTGTACCACTGAACTTGAGTGCCCTTCTCTTCTAGGATCGAATGCGCTACAGCGATGCATAATGCCATGGAAGAAGAAGCAGGATTCGGCGCCCAAATCTCACCGTTGCAAGGTCCCGAACAGCGAGCCACGATCATATATCAACGACCCGTCTCCTGAACCTGCAAGACTGTTACATATCAATCATTGTAAAGAACAATTAGCTCCCAATTTTGATGAAGACCAATCATTGTAAAGAACAATTAGCTCCCAAATTCGATGAAGAATTATATACCAATCATTGTACAGAACAATTATCTCCCAATTCGATCAATGTGGTGGCTGGTTCAGTGTTCTGCTCACCTTGCAACTCCTCTATCACCGGCTTCTCGTCCACCTCCATGGGTGACGGCATTGACAATGGCATCGAGCTGGCTGCGGCAGCGGCGGCCGCGGCGAACGCCAGCGCCGGCTGCTGCGTGGCGGTGAGCTTGAGCGGCTTGTTGTCCCTGTCTCTGCTCGCCTCGCTGCTCTTCGGGGGTGCCTTCTTCTTGGGCTGCGGCGGCGGCGGTGGCGGCGCGGCCGCGGGCGCAACGGGGGCCTCGGCCTTCTTCTTGGCTTCCAAGGCCTCCGGCTCCGCCGCGCGGCACGCGGCGTCGAGCAGCTCGCGCGCGTGCTTCCGCGCCACGGCCGCCTCCCGGGCGGCGCGGTCCGCCTCCTCGCGCGCCGCCGCCGCGGCGCGCGAGATGGACTCGTGCGCCAGGCGCGCCGCCACGAGGAGGACGCGCGCGGCGCGCTCGTCCATCGTGCGGCGGCGGCCGGCGGCGGCGGCGGGGGTGTAGGAGTAGACCCTGCCCACGGCGGCGTCGGCGCAGGTGGGGCAGACGAAGGAGACGGGGTCCGGGACGCAGGAGTGGTGGGCGACGAAGAGGCCGCAGGAGGAGCAGGCGGAGACGGGGCCGGGCGGGGCGGCGACGGGGGCGGCGGCGGGAGGGAGGAGGAGGAGGCAGGCGGAGCAGAAGGCGGCGGGGTGGTAGAGGAGGACGCAGGAGGAGCAGAGGCGGCAGAAGACGCCCTGGTGCCGGACGTTGTGGAGGGGCCAGGCGTCGCGCCCGGAGCCGCAGCGGTCGCCGCCGCAGCCGCGGTGGCCGGGGTAGCCGCCGGTGGGCATCATCGGCGGCGGTGGCGGCATCGAGAGGGGAGAAGAGGAGAAGAATTAGGGTTTCCGAGGAGGCCACCAAACGGCTCTCAATCTCAATGAGGATGGATTTTCTTTTCTTTTTCCCCTATTTTCTCCTCTAAGGAAAAATGGGACAACAAAAACTGAAAATAATAAATATATATATCGAATTTATCACTTTTCTGTTTTAGAGATAATAGCTGCTTCTAAATTAAGAGTTTATTATGATGTAAAGAATGACTGTAAATTTTAGGAGTACAAAATCAACTAAAACAAAGAGTGTGTGAAAATATACAGTATTGTATGGAGTATGGGCCTATGGGGATACCATCGTGGGTATAGAATATAAATTTCACATACAATAGTAAATGGCGCGAGATGTCTCTATTGGTTTAAATTTTTGCCATGACGTCATGGATGTTATGAATTGAAATAAATTATATTTATTGAAAGTGTAATAAATCCATATAAGCCGACGATACATGCACTCTGCGCTCTTATCTTGTAGTGAGATGGGGTAGGGTGTGATAAGTCAACAACTAATTTGTCGTTACGCAACATTGATCTCTTCGTGGAAAAGTTCTCGGCATACGAGAGATCGAAGCTTACATTCTATAAATATGATGTGAATGACAAAACATGCTCAACCGTCATAACGGCTTTAGCGATGGTGGGATAAGAATCTTGTTATTAATACATGAGCAGATATGCCAAGCCACTTGACATGGTGAAAATTGTTAGATAGTGAGCTTACAATTGAGACGTTTTTCTATTTTTTTTTTCTTAACACTCATATATTTAGCTAAGAAATTACCTAAAATTCTAACAAATACTACACATTTAGTTTGTGTCATGACTCTTGATGTATCTTGATCGAGCCTAGCATGACCACTTCGTTAGCCTATTGAACTCGTAGGTCCCCTTATTATCCTGAGTCAAGTTGTTGAATTTGGACGGCTAAGCTCATGATGCTCTTATCGATGCATGTGTGTTGTTCCGTTCTTTGCACAAAGTAACATTTTGAGATTTATTATTTCTTAGAGAATTCTCAACGTATATGGCCTAACATGACCACAAGGTGGTCCACACTAAATATGTTGTGATCTCTACAATGTATAACGCTAAAGTTGGTGTTAAGGTAGGTCCCATAACAAAATAAAATGTTTACCCTTTTCAACCTCCCAACATAGAGAGAAGCCAGAGTGTAGGAGAGAGAAGTTTTGTATGACTGGTCTATAAATTGCCTCTAACCTGAGCCTATCTTAAAATCTCCACAATGTATTAGGTTATAGCCCCTTATGGCCACATTGTGGCTAACCTTAGGTATATAGCACCAAACTAATGCATGATACTTCAAGCTGCCTATTGAAGCAATAGTTTTTCTTAGTAGCAACTTAAAAGCTAATTAAAAAAGAGAACTATGTTGAAATACTCCAAAATCAGCTCTCACATTGTGAGATATATATACAAGGCATACATATGGGTAATGTGCACATTCATGCTCATGTGACACATGTGTAATGTGCACATTCATGCTCATGTGACACATGTGTAATGTGCACATTCAGGCAAGTCACCTTTTTTTGGTGAGCCTCCACAGAACGAGGGTGAGCTATGCTGAGGTACATCGCCCTTTCGTATATGGGCTAAATTAGAAAAAGAAGTAACGAATAGGAAAAGTAGAAAATTAAAAGAAAAATGGAAAGCGCATGTTAGTAGTATCTCTCATATATATATATATATATATATATATATATATATATATATATATATATATATATATATATATTAAATTTGTTTGGTGCCCCATGGTGCCCGGGCTCCATGGTTCAAATTGAGTATATACTCAATTCAAATGAGTATGAAATTTTTTTAAATGTTTAGGTATTAACATTAACTACTTTACTAACTAGTTCAAAACAAGTTTGAACTTAGTTTAAACATGTTTTTGTTATATTTTGATTCTAGGTATATAGCATCCAAACATATAATTAGTTAGGTATGTAATATTGGATTGTGAAATAAAGTTAAATTTTGAGTTGTTTTGTTGAGAGGTGTAGGTATGAATCGAATACTTATAACTAGGTATATACTCATATATATATATATATACTCATATATATATATATATATATATATATATATATATATATATATATATATATATATATATATGAAATGTAAAAAAATACTCTCTCTGTCTAAATAAATCCTGACCATGCTACGATGCTATTTATATTATTTTTTCAGACAAGATCTATGTCATTACTTAATTACCATTGCTGTTGTTCTGAAGAAATGCCTTTATTATCTGAAGAATGGGTGCAGCTGGCTCGATTCTTCAGAGAAGACGGACGTGCATTATTTTTCTGTCAGAAGAATCGAAGGTGAAATACATGATATATCTGCGAATCAAAGAAGACTTCAGCTGGCAACTGGTGTTTGCTTGTTTCTTCTTCATCATCCTCTTCAGAGAAGAGACATTGCATTCTTTTTTGATTGAGTTTCCTCTGAGGAGTAACAAGAAGAATGCTGCCATCAAATTTTCCAGATATCTGTTTAGGCATATTCTGCTCAAATTCTCTGAAGCAAAGGGAGTCGGATAACTGAACTCCGACCCCCAGTTTTCTCTGTTTGCCCCATCACTTGCCACTATCCCGATCACTGGATGCATAACTCGATCAAAGAAGCACACAGAACATGATCAATCGAGCACTTACCAGGTTGCAAATCCAATCCACCGAGGGAATAATCTCCCGTTGTCTATAGCTAAGCTGATATTCTTGCTTGAGAGATGGAATTCAGATAACTTGTTTAGCGGAGGCATTGATAAGTTTGTTTCCTGTGTTTCTTTTTACTAAGCCAGAAACAAATAAATCAGCGCTTTGTTTCCTAAAATAATACAGTGGCTAAACACATTTGGTCCAAGGTGGTCAGCTGGATATAAAATGACCAAGATTACAGTTGGTAATGATTGTATTTGTTTAGTTACTGAATGCAAATATGCAATTGGAGCAACTTATTAGCAGGGTTCACGAAACCGTTCGCCTATGACTTATTAGTTGTGACAGTTTGATACACTGCAGCAATTTTGTCAGTTGTCATATGATTATTTTTCCAGCTCAACTGTTATAAATTAATCTATCCATTGCTTGTGCTAATCTGTCTCAAAGCAAGGATAATAATATAGCCCACTTCCTACTATTAGCCTATACTAAAGTCAACACATATAATAGATTAGCTATAATGTTAGCTATAATTTTTTTCTTCTATCTCTATCTCTCACTTATATATTTAATGTATTTGTCTTGAAGCTTGTGTTAAGCTAGCTCTTGCACGAGAGCCAGCACCATTCTCTTTTGTTTACCTCTCTCCTCCACATAAGCTTATAAGCTTATAGTAAGCTTATAGCTCACTATTATACTTGTTCTCAGGATAATAGAGTGCAGACGGTAGCTTGGAGAGAGTTTAGATGGGCCGGACCCATTACGCAATTGACGGAAGGCAAAGCAAGACGCTGCCGGTTAGTACCACCTCGCCAGTTTTGAAGAAGCGGGAGCTGCTTATAAGCTGCAGCCTGGAATCTTGCGGCACGACCTTACTTGAACAGGATCTGTTCTACAGGCTCGTACCGTTGCATCCTTTACCAATAAGGAGGCAAGCTCTCAAGTCTGGTTGATGCCGACATAACCTCCGGGCCAGAGCGTGATTTTAACGGCTAGGATGCATGTTTGAGCCATCCGACGGCTGCAGAGGATCGTTCCTGCCTGGTTCACTCCGGTGCAGGGTGGCCCAGAGGTTGTCTGACAGATATCTCCTTTTTTTTTCCCCTTCATCGTTTGTAATTTTTTTTCAAGAATTTTGCTCAGGTGAGTGGTATGCAATTGTATTTACCTGTATTCATCTGCAGCAATAGCTTCCCTATCGCTGGTAATCATTGAACGAACCGAGGCTCCTAATTTTCCTTTTTAACACTTCAGCTGCTATCTGTGTTCACTCACTGCCTGATCCTTTTCTTCCCTGTTGATCAATTGTTAACCTAAACCAGTGCAGAGCCTGCACCTCATCAATTTAATTGCTAGCGATGGCTAGCAGAATTCTTATGTTTTTGTTCAGCTGCATGCCATGTCCATTTTAGAGAAGACCATGTTTGTGGAGAGTTACAGGAATTGTAGTTCTTGTTTAGTTTTTAGTTTTTGTTTTTTTTTTTTGGGGGGGGGGGGGGGGGGTGGGGCTCCCAGAGCTACCCTGGTACTCTCCAAACCTGATTTTGTCGCCGTTAAAACAAGCATGGTTTGCTACTCTGCAACAATTTATTTCACCAAGGATGTCTAATGAGGTTTTTTTACTGTTTGGCATTTTAGTCTGAACCAGTTTTCTGTTCTAATTAGGATACTTCTCTTCAGACCGATGTTCATTCTGAAAAGCTCTTTTGTACTCCTTATCTGAAGACACGCAACTGGTTGCTTAGCTTTGAGCCACCAACAATTCGGTTATGTTTAATTTTAGGCTCAGATTTGAATTCCAACAGTATTTATAGAAGATACGCACTAGTTGTTGTAACTGTGCAGGTCATCTAAAGAAAAAATTCCTTGGAAATAAAGGGAGCCTGCTGTTATAGTTGCAAAGCCTGCTTCCACTATTCTCCTCTGTCCCTCCCTGCTCTTCATGGGCCATTGGTATTTATCCAGCATAGGCCGATCAAAACTCATCATGGATCAGGCAGCCCAAATCGCATGATTAAAGCGTGGGAAAAGGTATACTTTCGCTCTCTCAACTATAACCTGAGTATGATTCATGACCTCTAACCACTAAATCGTGTATATCAACTTCTCCAACTATCAAAACCGATGCAAACTATATCCCTGGATGGTTTTAGAAGAGGTTTTGTCTGACGTGGCGTCTACATGGCGGTGTTGACCCAGTCTTCGTCCCACGTGTTGCTTATGTGGCATTAGAGTAAAAAAAAATTGTGGGATCGACATGTCATTCACACACACACAAAAGTGGGACCCACCGACATGTGAGCCCCACATGGTCATCCTCACCTCTCCCCCTCTCTCTCTCTTTTTCATCTTTTCTCTCCTCTCACTTTCCATCACTGGAGGCGGGGCGGCGGCGGCAGTGACGGCGTATGGGGGAGGAGCTCGCAGGCCATCCGCGCACGCTCCAGGAGCTTGTGAGTTGTGACTGTGAGCAAATAAAAAACAATTCCTACTATCTGGTTCATAGTCCACAATTGCACATACCGATGCAGGCGGCATTCTGATTACATTTTCATCCTCGCATTAGTCCAACTCTACACTATATGAGATACCACCACACGATTTTTTTCAATTATATAAGAGATGCACTTGCCGCATGTGTCAATTAAACATAAAAAAAAAACCCTATGAATATTCCTTCTTAATGTACGCTGAGGGACGGGGACACATCCCCAATAAAAAAAATCCCCAACCCAATTATATTCCTACTAAGAAAATCTCCATTTGTGTAACGTTATTAGCGGACATCAGGATCAAAACTTGGTCAACGGAATCAGCTACTTGTGACTCCATCACTCAATTTGATATATATTACGTCGAATATGGATACAAAGTCAGTTACAGTTTAGAACTTAGAGTTATATTAGGTATAGGAATAGAGTAAAAGTCAGGGTCTATCTTAAAATCTCTCTTAGATAGAAAGACATACGTGTTATAACCGTATAGCGACTTAGCATAGCGTAACGTAGTGGCTACCGGCGGCGTTCGCCGATGGTCGTTATAACTCTGATACGTTGTAATATGCTGGATCGGGTAGGAGCGCCTGCAATCAGTGCCTCGTAGATGTAGACCTCGGCTAAACTCCGTTATCAAATATCATGTATCGGTGTCAATTTTATGTTTGGATCTTATATGATGTTTCTTCCGTGTTCGGTTTCCGATGTGATTTTGGGGCCGGTTTATCGGATTTTACTAATGGAAAATGTAGTGGTATTATATAACAAATGATTTGGTAAAAGCAGGGAAGTATTAATGTTGATATCTTCGATGTTCGAGAAAGTTGCCATATTCATTTTAAAGTATAATAACCTAAAATAACATATGATGCATCCTAATATTACTAATCTTGACATGAGTACAAAGTTGTTACAATGATTTATCTGAAACTTTATTACCGTGTGAAATGCAGACAATTAAAAATCCAGCTAGCTGGTACAGAAAACACAGGCGAGGCTCGTGACGATGATTACCTGTACCTATCACATGACCTCTACGGCTGACGGTACAATACAAATTAAATACACGCGTACGTACGCGTACGCCGACGTGGCGCACACCCCGACGAAAATTTTTGGAATTGCCGCGCGCTGGCCGCGTGGGCCCCACCTGTCAGCCCCCGGTTTTGAAATCCCACCACCCCAACCATCTCCTCCTCCTTTCCTTCCATTCTCGTCGTCGTCTTCACTCCCAATCTCCTCCTCCGCCTCCGCCGCCGCCGCGTCAGCCGCGCCCCGCCGCCGTGGCTCCTTCCGTGCGCGGTGCCAAGTTAAGTCGCCGCCTGCTTCTGCCTGGCCTTCCCTTCCCCGCCCCGAGCGGATTCCGGCGCCGCTGCTGTCGCTTCCCGAAGAAGACGCGTAAGCCCTAGTTGGTGCTAGTTTGCTGCTGCTTGCGAGAAGGAGAGAGTGGAGTGAGTCAGTAAGATATCTGAGGTGGAGGGGGAAACGAGGATTTTATTTATTTTTATTTTTGGTTCGCTCGTGATCTGCGTGCTCGTTTCTTGGAGCTGAGTTGCATCGTCGGATGGAGGTAGGGGATTCTTTGGCACTTGAGTTTATCTTTGGTTCCAAATATGCTTACTATGATTCGATTCATGCTATTTTTTTTGGCTAATTTATGGGAGAAGATCAAGAGCTCGGAGTTTCTGGGTGGTGATTTTACAGTGCTCTCTCTGCTGTTTCTCTGCTTTTTTTTACACTCAAATCTAAGGAATCTGGAGTGTTTTTGAGTTATGCTGTTCCCCACTGTTTGAAGTATTTTAAATTTGTTCGTACTTGTACGAAATTTTCAATTTTTTTTTTGCCTTCCAAACTATTCTTAACGAAAATTAGAGTGTTCACACACTCTAATTAATTAATCCTCAAGTAAGAAGGGTAAGAGATTTATGAGGACTTACGCTCCAGATTTCATACTGGGAAATTCTCGACTTTTGTGCTGCATTTTTTTTCTTCTCTCGGTTTCTTCCCCAAAAATTTGAATTTGTTTGAAAATTTTCGGATGGACACTGGACAGCCTCCTTTTTGTCCTCATCTCTTTGTGAGCTCAGTGAAAGATTCCTTTTCATCTGGTTTTGTCTCAATCCTTCTTTTCAGTAAATTTTTAGTCGTAGCGTCCCGCAAGAGAAGTTTTTGGCATTCCAGAAAAGTTCTTTTTTATTCCAACACAAGAACAGACACCAAAAAAATAGCTATATTGTTCTACCGCACATTTTATTTTTAATTGTTGCACCATACTTAATCTCTACTGTTAAACAAGTTGACTTCAAGCACCAAGAACATGCAAAATTTGCTGCCTGGTGCGTGCAGTTGACTAATTAGATGCGTGATTTGATCGGCATGAGGCAGTCACTTGTAGTGTGAATAATATTTTGTATACTTTGCTTGTTTTTTCCTCATTGCCAATACAATAATATTATGATGAGTACTGAAAGCTACACTTCTGTCACTTAGTTGCCAAATGTCTAGGCTCCACTCAATCTCGTACCCTTGATCCGAAGAAAGCGGATGTTTTCATATCAGTAGTTTAAGCGGAACACGTTGCATGTAGCAAGCATCATTGTATGTTTTCATCTCCTCTCAAAATTGGTATTGTTTTCTGCAGCGAAAGCTACCTGCTGGCCCATACTGACCTGAGATAGGAGGCTTCTTGTGAGGCAACCACAGAGGTGTTTGGCTTGGTCAAAGAAGAGCTCATCTCCCTTGTTTTTGTCTTTCTTCATGGGGGTGCTTGATGACTTGCTGTGAGGCCTGAGCCGTCCTGTTTGTTGTTCTTGGATAGAATATAACAGTATTCCAGAAGCAGTGTTTTTGGTGCTAATATTGGAAGAGAAACAGTATTTTGGGGCTTGGCTATGTCAGTTTCAGAGAAGGTGGTACCACCATCTTCTGTGTCTTCGTCGGATTTGGATCCGCTGTTGAAGGATCTTACAGAGAAGAAGTTAAGCTTTAGGAGAAACGTGGTGTCTTTGGCGGCTGAGCTCAAGGATGTGAGGAACAAACTTGCTTCACAGGAGCAGTTGTTTGTTCGGGAATCCCAAACCAGAAAGGTTTGTTTCTTGTTTTTGTAGTTGGTCCCTGCCGGATTGTTGTTGAGTTTTGTTTTTGACAAGGGAAAACTTATCACAGTTTGCTGAGACAAAGGCGAGGAGCATGGAGGAAGAAATCAGTAAGCTGCAGAAATGCTTGAATGATAAAGATGAGCAACTGCGTTCGTCGACAGGTTGCACAGAACAGGTCTGAACTGCCTCGGTTCTCTTATTTGTCAAGTTAAAACACTTTTTATTAAACCATTTTGGAGCCATGGGGTCATTACTGATGGTTATGAGTTTGTGGCCTTGTTTTTATTGATTCTGCATTTACAAGCTAGAAATGATCCTTTGTGCATTAATTTGTCAAGCTATGTTCTTGATCATGGGCATTAATTTGTTTTGTCATCAAATTTGTTATCCTAGACTAATTATGATTTGGCCTCTTGACCTAGTAAGCTCATAATCTGTAACTGTTGTGCTCTTGTGGATTCATGGCGATGAGAAAATTTTACTCTACTATTTTACATCTTTCAGACTCCACTTTATATTGTCTCCGCAAACCAATTACCAATGTTGATGCTGGTTTTGACGCTCTAATGAGTCCCTTTTGCAATTCAGATGCACTTCCTCAATAACTATTCTAATTATGTGCAGTACTTCCACGAGTTGGACGATCTTAGATCGAAACTGTCAGTCACCCAAGCTACAGCAGAAGCAAGTGCTGCATCAGCCAAATCAGCTCAGTCACAATGCTTGTCATTATTAAAAGAGCTGAATGAGAAGGACAGCTCGCTAAAAGAACACGAGCGTCGAGTCAACAAGCTAGGTGAGCAGCTGGATCATCTCCAGAAGGATCTTGAATCAAGGGAATACTCACAGAGGCAACTCAAAGATGAAGTTTTGAGGATCGAAACAGATATCATGGATGCAGTTGCCAAAGTTGGGTCTAACAAAGATAATGAGCTTCTAAAGATCTTATCTGATGTATCACCAAGGAACATTGATAATCTCAATAAACTTCTGAACGCTAAGGATGCAGAGATTGCCAGATTGAGAGATGAAATTAGGATATTATCTGCTCACTGGACGAACAAAACAAAGGAACTAGAGTCACAGGTATACGGTTCTCTTTCTTTCATCCATAGAAATGCTGAATACTATTACAAAGAAACTTGTTATTTGTGCTAAAATGTTGTATTTACTTGAAATCTCTTGTTTGTTGAACAGTTGGAGAAACAAAAGAGAACCGACCAGGAACTGAAAAAGAGAATTCTAAAGCTTGAATTCTGCCTTCAGGAATCACGGTCCCAGATAAGAAAACTTCAGAGAGTATGTTCATATTTATCCTTGTCCCTTGACACATCAAACATGATGTTCTCTTCTAGCATTGCTGTCCATGCTCATTTATGGTTATCTCAACTGGGGACGAGGCACTTGAGATTGAATATGACGCCTTATCCCTGAGCATCTAACAAGATCTCTGACAGTTAAAATTAACAAATCTAGACCATGTGAATGAAGCATCCCTGCTACGGCAGTTGTGCAATAATTATCTGTGGAAAATGTACAGGTCAAACTGATACTAACAGAAACACGCGTTCAGCAAAGCCCCATTTTTTTAGTATCACCCATTTTCACTGCCAGCCAAAATAACCATGCCCATTTATTTTTATGAAAATAAAAACAAACTGCAATGTCTTAGCCGTGTATTTGCTCCAATTTTTTGTTAAAACTTTTGAAAGTGGTCATTTGGTTTCTGAACTTATGTGACAACCTTCCTGGAGCAGACTATGATCAATTAAGAATACTCATATACTCATACCAGACTGGACTAATTGCTCCTTGCTTCTTCAGGCTGGTGAGAAAAGAGACAAGCAACTGAAGGAGCTGAAGGATCAGGTGGGCATGAAGCAACCCAGTGTCCCATACCGTGATGACAAGCACAACTTCTGGGAGAACCAGAGCTTCAAGTTCATCGCCTCCATGTCAATGCTCGCACTAGTGATGCTCACAAAGCGATGAAACAGCATCCTGTGTAAAGAATGCTACTTAGTAGTATATTCCAGTGTTAGGTGAGCACCTTGCTCATAGTCTATAGTTCAGGAAGCCAGAGATGTAGTCAAGTAGGTCATTGCTGCATGATCAGTCGTCAGATGATGCCCCAACTGAATTTGCCGACATCCAAGATTAGTCTGTAGTATTGTAGTACTGTAGTGCAGTTGCTGCTAGCTTATGTAAGCTCATAATTAAGCAATATTGTAGTTACAGATCTACCTTAATTTATGTCTGGCCGCGTTGCGGTTATGTTAATGCTGGCATGGTTCGCTTGTTCTAATCTTTAGCATTTTCAGTTGATTGAGCTAGTTCCTGATTCTGAACTCTGAAAATTTCAGAGGTTCAGTATGCAAACAGGACGCACTTGTTCTGAACAACCGTGCCAAGGCCCAAATCTGCAATGCTGAGGTAATGGGAAGAAAATATGGACAAATTTGGGGGCATTTCTTCTGCACAAAGATCAATCAAATGCAGAACAAGAGAAGGCAAGTTCAGTTCAGTTCAGTTCAGTTCAAGATGCAGAATTTTGTTTTCCCTCTTGAGTAAGGTAGATAGATATGCATGTCACCTTCAGACAAGTTATGTCTCACCCGATGCGAAGAATCAAATATTTTCGGTTGCTAGAACCTTGGTGATTACAACAAGGGACGAATAATCACAAATGTACACACTTCCAGCCAGCCACACATCCGCAAGAACAATATCGATGTCTCATACTTCTTAACTTAATATCTATCATACAAAAGGTAGACCAAAGTTTTATGACCCGGCATTTTCTCCAGGGTTAGTTGCCCGAGCATTCAGCAGGGGTTGCAGCGCTTTCACGACAATGCTCATGTTTGGTCGAAAGTCCGCTTCATACTGAACGCATAACGCCGCAACAGCTGCAAACTGTTTGAAACATACAGAAGAACAAATGTTTAAAAACTGGGCTTACAAGGAAACATAATCTCAAGTACAAGTGCTGCAAACAATAGATCTACGACAAATTTAATGTTGAATCCAGACATGCTTCATGAACGATGTGAATTTCAGACATATAATCCTAGGGTTAGCTGTTTAATTAATCTTTAGCCATCAGCTTCCTTTTGCACGTTGTCAAGATAGTTTCTGGAGACTGCTAGTTCAATAACCTATGGTGATAAAACAGAAAAGAGGTTGTCTCTGAATATCGGATACCTTTGCGACAGCTTTAGGAGGATAGTCCCCTCCAAGTCTTGAGTCAACACATTGCCTAACCTTGTCTTCACTAAGCCTTGGGGTGGCCTGCCAATGTTGAATAAACCATTAATTCAGCCCACCAAATAGAATGCAAGCCAGAATATTCCAATAACCGCGAATAGCATATGCGATTGAAACTTACCCAAGTCACAAGACTCTGCTGTCCCCTTGGTAATGTATGGTCAACAGGTTTCCTTCCGGTCAATAGCTCAAGAAGAACAACTCCAAAACTGTACACATCACTCTTGGAGCTAAGCTGTCCAGTCATTGCATACCTGGCCACAGAATTTAGACCAACATTAGTAGTTGATATAATTCTGAAGGTTTATAGAGAATTGAAGAAAACCAGAACATACTCAGGTGCATGATATCCAAAGGTTCCAAGAACCCTAGTAGAGTGAAGCCGAGCTGCCATGTCAGGAGCTTGGTTTGACAAATCAAAGTCAGCTATTTTAGCAACATCATCATCGAAAAGGAGAACATTGCTGGACTTGATGTCCCTGTGTATGATATGAGGCTGTGCTTTCTCATGAAGATACTCCAGGCCTTTTGCTGCCCCAACAGCTATCTTCACACGTTGTGCCCATGATAAGACTGGACCAGGTTGAGCTCCTTTAACACCCTTCCTTCCTGTAAACATACAATTTCCACATTTAATGGTATTCAAAGTTTAAAATAACACCATAATTCTATCAAGAGTTCAAGATATGAATAAAGGAAACAAAAGCACAGATGTGCAAAGACCATACCATGAAGCATATCATGAAGAGAACCCATAGTCGCAAACTCATAAGCAAGGACACGGAGATTTCCATCAACACAATAACCAAGCAGCTCAACAACATGTTCATGCTTAAGCCTCGACACCATAGATACCTGTGGATGCATTTTGAAATGAGTTGCAAGAAAAAGAAAACTTGTTGCAGAATTCCTAACAGAGATAAACACAGACCTGTGCCAAAAATTCTTGGTCTGGCTGCTTACTAGAGTCTAGCTTTTTGACCGCTGCACTTCTACCATTTCTTAGAACACCAAAATACACTCTGCCAAAGGAACCTTCACCAATCAAAGCTTCATCACCAAAATTCTTAGTCACTTCCCTAATTTCATCAACAGGAATGATGGGGACTGCAATTGGTTGCACTTTCACAGGTTGAGGACCTCTTGGAGTTGGATCAGCTGTGCGATATGCATCGCTCCCTGCAGACAAATTGCAGTTCAGTAAAACTTGAGCACCATCTGTAAACCACAGTATGTAATGGGACAATGCAGATGATTATAACAAAAGGCCCAGTGCCATTACTTGCTGGATGGTTCCCTGGGTATGGATTCCTGTTGTCTGGTACTCCTTGAGTATCTTCATCACCACAGCATGCAAAGCACGACATATTCTACTAGAAACAAACCCTGGAACAGAATCATGCAGATTTTTATTAGAAACCAGCAACATGCATTTAGTTTACAGAAAAGTAGCATCAGACAGACGGTCAAAGAGAGAGAAATTGAATGAGCACAAATTGAAAAACACAAGCAGAAGTGCAAACACAAATACACCACCATAAGACATTCAAACAGACACATGATTGAACTAGTTAATACTATGTAGATGGACAAATAACCTGATGAAAGTGTGGAGATAATAGGAAAGTGAATGAAATAAATTAACTTCGAAAACTCAGGGTTCACACTTACCTTGCAGAGAGTGGAATGCATAGAACATGACATATGTGGAATAAATAAAGGAGGTGCTAAAAGATCTATCAGTAATTTCTCCACAAGCCATTTTGTTCCCATCATTTCCTTATTCTTTTTATGTAACTTTTTGTGCATTTTCTCAACCCAACCAGGACAATCAAATGAATTATGTCCACAAATGCCCGATGAACTACTTGAAGGTACCACGTATCAATGCATGGTGAATGGTATAATGGTAGTGCTGAGCTACTAAAACCACATATGAGTTATCTCATTTGTCTCTTCTTCCCAGTATTATCGGAAACGGACAAGCGAGTTGGCTCATGTGTGTGATTTCGGAAAGAGAAACGGCATGCAAGATACTACTCAGAAGACGACAAGGTTGCTGAATCCGAGTACGTTTTAGATTTGGGGTGCTCAATTCGGCAAAAAACAATTGGCCACATTTTTCAGGTAACACTGCTTCTTTCACCAGACAAACTTAACCACTACAATTCTTGATCAGCACGGCAAGTTCACTGGAACCAAATATACTGATATGCTGGAAACAAACTAAGCAAAGGATGCCCAGGTAGGATTGAAATCTGCCTAAGGCCAGAACTAATAACCACCTTTTCCTATTAGAGCTGATGAGAAGACAGCTCATTCTGCAGTGGCATCGTTAATAATTACCAATTTCCTACAGGGTTACATACCACATTAGCCCTAGACACCAATAATACACATCAGATGGAAATTTTATTAAATTATTCATTCAGCCACCCTTCCAGTGGTTAGAACATTGCATTATTAATTGGATGCCATATTTGTAAATCAAACATGTATCCTATGAACACAAGGGCAGAATGTGAGGCAACTGATTAAATGTGACAAGTTCATAACCACTTCAAAGTCTGCACTAGACTAAACAGAATAGCATGGAAGAACAGCATGCAAAAATTATTTGCATGGGCACACTGCTTCACTCATGCCGGTAGCTCACGCGGTCATGTCCTCGCACCACTCCAATTCAGGATGCATGCCAAAGAAGCTCGACCAATCATCAATCGCATCTTTATCCCTAGCACTGTCCTAAATCCACACAACTCCTACAGCACTGAAACATCAATCTTGCCTATACCTACAAGTACTACGCCAATGATTGAACACAGTAAAACTTCAATTGCAATCATGACGCTACAAAATTGGACATTATTCCTAATTGATATGCTACCGCAACCTCGAATACACGCAGTTAGCTAATCGCAACAAGCTGTTAATCAACTAACATGTTCTCCTCCAACTAACGGAAAGAGTAACACACCGTGGTCTTTGGCAAAGCTCAAGAAGCCGCAGAATTCAGCGAGAAAAAAAAAATCAGACGAACAACCGAATCAAACGAATCAGGCGCAGCAATCACAGCTAAAAACGAGAGGAGCTAGTTCTTCTTCCCCCTCACCTCACAGTAAACGCTACTATCAAAGTTGACCAACCAAGAAAGGGAACCCAACCCAAGCTCCCTCCAGATTCAGAGCCGGCAACCCACCAAAGAACCAGCCACCAAACCCACCCAAATCCCCAACCCTGAACCGCCCCCCGAGGGCGGAGCAACCACCAGCGAAAGAAGAAGAGATCACACCGAGTCCAATCCATCCATCCACCCACGAGAGATTCCGGGCACAGATCGGAGCAAAAAGCAGCGAACTTTCGGGGAGGGAGGGCGAGAGGGCGCCGAATCCGGCGTCAAGATCGCACCTTTTCGCGTGCCCCGGCGCCGGGGAAGAAGACGAAGCCGGCGGCGGCGGCGAAGGAAATCGCGGCGAGGATGGGATGTAAGAGGAGGAGGAGGAGCAGCGGCAGCAGCAGCAGCACAGCGTGTGTGAGCTGGTGTGGTGACCCGCGGTGAACTTAAATACAGCAGCTTTGCTAGTTGCTACTGCTACAGAAGAGAGCCAGCCAACTGGTCGTCGTTGCGGCAGCTTCCTCTCTCCTCTACTCTCTCTTTCTCTATCTCCGTGTGTTCGTCGTCAGAACGCGCGTGTTAGAAGAAGAGGGGGGGAAAAGGCGTGTGCTTTTCTCTCCTGGTTTTAGCTTTTCCTTTTTTAATTAAGTTAATTGATTGATTGACAGAGGAGCAAATGCCATGTGCCAATGTATGTGTGTTTGTTTATCAGGAGGATGTAGAGGGTTGTTTCTATAATTTTTTTTATTTATAAAAGTATTATATTTATTACATTCGTATTATAACCATATTATAAGTAGCGGAACTCAAAACTATGTATATAGTTTGTAAATGCGAGAAGTCAAGGTGTTGCTAGGAGTAAGGGTGTGTTTTTTTAAAGTTATAGGTAGATTTTCGG